GGAGCGACTGATTAAATTCTGTTGTACTTTTTTGTTAGAAAGAACTACTTAACTGTTACTGCATTACTGATAAACACGTTACGTATTTTATACAGGTTAGGATGATAGCTTTCAAATTAGCGTCTTTCCGGTCATCTACGAACGTGATAATCTATTATAATGAGTTATTTGGTATTAAGCTTAATCTCCATCAACTTTAGGAAGTAAAACACTTGCCACATTCCCTTGAGAGGGGACTCTGAGGAAAAGCGTCTCCTTTTCCACCGTGGATGTGATCGGCCGCACGAGTCAGCATTTATCCAAAAGAATACGGTGACACCTCTCGGTATGGTTGAGCAAAGGTGATGTCAGGAGCATCAACAGCGCCATTCTTGCCCACATGGTTAACTCCGGACATCGTGTGGACCCCAAGGAAGCCTTCAAGGCGATTTGTAAGGTCCCACCAAACTACCTTAAGTCCCTGTGTCCCTGTGTTTGCTAGGAACCGCCGAAGCAACCACTATCCAATTGAGGAAGCTGATTTTTTGCGCGCAAAAGAACCTCCTGCAAGCTCCGAGCTTGGCATGACCAGCGGTCAAATAACTGTCTGCATTTATCTGCCCTTTCTCTCCCCCTGTCCAGCATCAACAAACCTTAATGACCGCGTCTGTCTGTTTTATTTCAACCAACAGTGACTTCGGTTCGTAAGGAGCGTATGAACTTGATCTTACGTTATCGGATAAGACCCATAATAGAGGTGAGTTTGCCATAAATCCCAGGATAGGTACCCGTTCACGCGTCCTAACACTGCCTCAAGCCTTAATCTAGACCTAATCATAATTATAACTCGTATTTTCCTTTAATTTAGCGCGAGGTCACGTGCATTCCGGGGTAGGGGGTTTCCATTACCGAAGTCCGTCGAAGGTTCTTTATCTCATTCTCGCCCACTTGAAATCAACTGTGAACTCCCGCTTAATGCAGGGTGTGACATGGCTGCGGTTGATATGGGTGAGAACATTCAATGTAACAAAAAGAACCCGAAAAGTACGCGACCATAAACACCCTCAGAGGCTTTGTGTATTTGTTTGAGTGCTGGCCGAGCCCTCACACTACTATAGGTTACATTAGGGGGATATCTACTTAAATGTCTATTTAACTTTGCACACAGGGTATTTTCTGTGCCTGTAACACTGATAGCATCGATAAGAAGAGAACACAACAATCCTGCCAGTCATCTGTTACTCATTTTGTGGAAGTAGTGGAGGAAAACCCACTTCCTACAACGGCTTAGATGACTGTGCACAACGGGACGACATGTAGACAACAGCTTGTCCGGTCCAGATTCATCAAACACTGAGGCTCGACTAGGGATTCGCTTGGGTCACGTCATACTTACACCAACTCGAGCCTCAAACCTAATTCTACGCCTATATCGATCCTCAGCCCTGATCCTAATCCTATTTTCAATCTGCATGCTGGCGTTAGGTGCTGTCATTTAATAATTATACCTTCGTACTTTCATTAAGTAACTGATAAGAAAGAAAATACTATGATTTTATGGTGATTATAAGGTTATTGTAACTGCCGGAAATCAGTGTGACTAACCACTGATACAGTAGTTTTCATCCTGCCTTCTTCTTGCGTCTTGAGCTCGGAAGAATGCGCTGACCCTACTGGTGAGCAGGCAGTAACTTAATTAAGTTTATTGGTTTCTGCTTAGTTGAATTATAATTTACATAGTGTAGGCAGAAATACACTACCGGCAACGATAGGGGAGACTAGAATGCCCGATCCTGGCTTATTGGCCGTCATCAGCTAGCCATAACCAATCCCAGACCTGGCGACCCCCGAGGTTTGCACCCGCGACCTTGATAGTTAGAAGTTCAACGTTCCAACCAACGATCGGTTCCCGATCGAAAGCGGTGAGGCAACGAGTCCACGGCGTCGGACTTCCAACTAACAAGGCCGCGAGTTCGAACCTTGGGGGTAGCTATCCCTGGGGTTGAGTAAGGCTGGCTGATGACGGCTAATAGGCCAGAACTGGTCATTTCAGTCTCTCTAGTTTATGCCGGTTATGTACTTCCGCCTTTAATTTGCATACTGTATATTCTGCTTCAGTAAATAAATGTCAATTAGATGTACCAAGAAATAGCTCTTCGTGTGGACCATACACGGTAAAATCTACAGAACGATGAGGAGAACTAAGAGGATCGTTTCCGGGTTGCTAGTCTCTGTCAGCAGCCCACGCCCAGTCGGTAAATGACCCTCTCACGCGTGTATGAAATCTTTTCTGACTTCTTTGCCAGTCAATTTCACAGAAAAGACTTTTCAATCTCCTTTTCTGAACAGTTATACGAACTTTTTCTATTGAATTAACTTCTCTGCATTATATTTGTTTCGTTATGTTTTTAGCAAACGCACGGAAGCTACAGTGTTTCTGCCAATGGCTATACGCTGGTGACCGCATTTTGCCCCTTTCAACATCACAACATAATGAGCATATATATATATATCGTACTAACTTAATTAAAGTAGCACTTTTTTCCTCACCGAGTGAAAGTGGCGGGACGGCAACCTTGTCAGCCGGCGTTGGTGGATGCGCATGTTCTGTTGGCGTATAGGTCGTGTACATGTAGAGTTCCGGATCTGTGCACACTTCAGCAATCGCTGGAGGCGATATATTTGACGTCCGTCGCAACAGCTGTGCACCGTTCGTCAGAGCCGCCATTGCGAACGCATTCCACAGCCAGGTATTGTAGTAGATCAGAGTATCATTCATCAGTTGGGCGGTTGGGAAGGAGGGGAGTTTGGAAGGGGATAAGCATGCGCTATTGTCCTTCTGGTCTGCTACTCCCGTGGATGACTGGTCCGTTAAGTCCAAGGAGGAGTTGAAGGAAGATCCGGGGTCACCGGTACCAGAAGTCTTCTTTGGAAGACTCAAATCCAGCGCCTGCATTGGTGGAAGAGTTCTACTCCCCGAAGAGGAAGAGTACGGGTGGGTGTTTAAATAGATTGACTAGATAGTCACAATAAAGACTGTCTAATACTTTAACCAATGTGTCCTGCAGAATGCGAGACGGCATATACTGGTTGGCTGCATTCTTTCAAAAGCAGCCGATAAGCCTACCATTAATTTGAAGATTGCGTATATAGCAGAATTTAATGGAACCATAAATTTCGCGAGCGCTCATCAGCTGCATCCACTCGCTGCATAAACTGAGTAACGAATATGAAAATACAGAGTTGATGTCTTTGTATCGATTTTTCTGTATGAATTCAATTCTGTATTTTCTCATTCGTTAC